CCTGGTTCCACCTGTGTCTCTCCATCACTCTTCTCTCTTGTTATCACTGTGTCATTTGTTAAATCAGTCTGTGTTTTGGTTCTACTGGTGTTACTGGTTCTGCTGGTGAGACGACAAGTTAAAAGGAAATCTGAAGGTGAGACTGAGCCGTTTCTCTTGAAGGTTTTGTTTCTCAGAGTGAAATTATGTGAATTATTTTAATGTGATATTCATAAATCACTTAAACACATTCCCACACTATGATTATGAAACAGTGAATTATTTTGTTGTTTATTTTGGTTCTTTTTATCTGACAGGGGAGAAGTTGGAGATGATGACATCACGTACAGTGACAGAAAAAGTTGAAGTCAACAACAGCCAATGAGAAGAAGCAGAGATCATTTTTAATGCGCTGTGTGTTGAGAGTTCATGTTGATATTCAGAGGAAATATAAAACAGAACTCACTGAGCTTAAACGAATGTATTAAACATGATTAAAATTCGTGAAACATTCCTTCTAAAATATGTATTGTCCACTTTCATCTTTGTAAAAGATTGAGGAACAACTCCTTGAGTCTGCTTAGCTTGAACCCAAAACACTTATACCTTATACATGGCTTTTCATCTTAGAAAAAAAAGAAATCTAAATACATCACTTTTATTCTGACCCTCCCCAAAACTGTGGAGAATCTAAGTTTGATTCATTCATTTATATTTAAACAGTTTATGATCCAGAGTAACATGAATGGGATGCCAAGCTTCCACTTTAACAGCTTTTTAATCACAACAACCACACACATGCTGAGCATCTTACTTCCTGTCGTCTATGATGCTTTATTTTTTATCCTTTCCACTGTTTTTTTTTTAGTTTTTCCTTCCTTGCCTCCTTTCCTTGTGTCTTGGTTCCTCCCACCAGAGATACAACCAGAGAAAGTAACGAAGAAACACAAGGAGAAAGAGATGTTAGACTTTAACACAATCAGACAAACTCACGTCAGAGCCTGATTTTAATTTGACATCAGTTATTTACTTTGAATTCTAACCACTCAGCCTGAAAAGCTTGGGATATAGTTGTCAGCCCACCAGGTGGTCAGGATGCCCAACTTTATGAGCACGATAACTCAAGGAGGTCATGTAAGATTTCTTAATCCTATACCATAGGTTTAGTTAGTGAGGACGAATATCACATAGGCTTCGCATACTAATAGATTAGCTGCATCTATTGATAATCTCTGAAAATCTGGAATTTGGCAACTTTGACACAATGCATTCATGATTTATTTTGCAGGTTTTTCAGTTGTGCAGTATAATATGTAGCTATACTAGCAGCACTGTTTCAATCTTTGACAAAATAACATTCAGAACTTTTTACCAGTTTACATTCAGTGAATTCCCAGAATGATAATAATCCTCCTCCTGGAACTGGATGGTGTCATGCCAGTGTGAAGGCAGGCTTGGTATGATGGACCCAAGAGCGGGACTCACAGAGGCACAGGTGAACTCAAAACCCTCGGCTTTATTCTGGGATTGCAGACTGAACAACGAACTAGTGATGTGTCCTGTGTGTCGAAGCTTTAAAGCCTGTGTTGGGTAATCTCGGGGGCGTTTTTGTGAAGCGCGTATCGACGCTTGCTTTCATTACGTATGCAGTGACATTCGAGGCCTCGCGGGCAGTCCGTACCACGTGACTGATTCAGGAACTGGTTTGCCGGTTTGCGTCAGATTCCAAATAAAATGGGCAGCAAAACACAGCTGATTCCCATTACATTGTGTTGTGGAATTGGATTACGTACGTGCTACATAGTTACTTGAGCATTTCCTCTCTCGATGGAACCAGCAAGGAAAAGAAAATTTTCCCCGGTCTGGCAACATTTCGATCTCATCTCTCCTAATAAGGTATACACACTGTAATAAATATCACAAATGATAAGCACCATAATATAAATAAACCACACCACAGATCCTATAATCGTATTTCTGTCTTTTGGTTTATTAAAAGGTGAAGTGTTTGCTGTGCTCCAAAGAACTTGGATACAGCAACAACACCTCATCTATGCTGAGGCATTGCAGAGCCCTGCATGAGAACAAGGAGACTAACCAAGGTGGACCAAGCTCAGGTGAGTTTTTGTAGGTTTTAAGGATACAGTCATTTGATACATTTATATTCCCCATGTCATTCGCTTATATTCGGGTTGTATTTACTGATATCTGTAATTTCTTTTTTTTTTTTTTTTTTATCAAGGGAGAGGAATGATGTGGATGAGGCCTTGCTCAACCCTTCACTATTGTGGAGTACAGTGGGTTTAGGAAGCTTGTTAAAGCTTTGAACCCTAACTATGTTCTCCCCACAAGGCAGGTGTGTATCTTAAAATATGAAGCATGTTTCCATTTTGCCTTTATTTCCATATTAAGTACT